ATTCAAGGTCAAGGCCAGGAAATGATGAATCTGGAAGAAAATATGTTGCTATCTCCAGAAAAAAAAGCTAGATAAAGATATTGCTGTGGCACAAAAATACTGAAACATGGTTGTGAAGTCAGAAGCCTGAGGGAAGAAAGACATATTTCACTAGGAAAGGTGAGATTCAATATGAAAATATCTATTTCATCCTATTAATTGAGTCATGCAGAGGCTCTTCACGCAGAGGATCCAGTGAAAACCAGTCCTGCAACAAGCAAAGCAATCACAGGGTATTTAAAACTGAATGTTTTTCAGTTCCACAGACATTCAGTACCGGGACAGTGAGGTCAAGCAGGACAAGCATTACAAACTCTTACAAATTTGTTTAAAAACTCAGCTGTAATTCTCTCCCTGGAAACACTTCTGCCTCTTAAAGCAACCAGGAGACCATCACCTGCATGCACCTTCCCTCAGCTGGCCCTGCACATTGTGCCAAGGGAGCTGAGGAACCTGCTCCTGCCAAACCAGCATTCCCAGCTGAGGCAGCTCACTGCACACAGGAAGATGTGTGATGCTCTTCTTGAGCAATGTGAGGCTCAGTTACTAAATTCCAGCATCAGGGGTTAGTAAAAATGGGACATAAAAAGTTGTTTACTTAGGTTAGTCACCAACTCTTTTCTCTTTATCAGATAAAGATTTTAAATCATGTTTGTTTTCTCACATAGAAAAGATATTTTTAAAAATGAGAGTTTTGATTTTTGAGTTATTAAAAATGATTCCAGCACTCAAATACAGTTTAAAGGGAGACACCTAGTTGCTATAACTGTAGCAACTCTCTAATTGCAAACTCATACACAATAGTACAGACTTATTACCAGTACTGTCTAATTGAATAGACATGAACATCTTCCTTTTTCCTGAAGATCAAAGGTTTCTGTTCTCAGTACCATACTTCTGTACTGATACCAAGAATATTTTTCAAAGATAAGAAGAAATATTATCTCTTCTAGTGTTCTGCAAGTCGTCATCCTCCTCCTCCCTACCAGATAAAAACAAGGAAAAGCCTTTTTTCCCCTGACATCATAGTTTCCCCTTGATCTCCCTCCTAGTAAAAAGTGCCTCACAAGCATATTAGTACATGCCTCCTTATCTTATAACTGGACAGTAAGATTTATTAACAGGTAGGAAGTGAACGAATACCTGAGGTCAGCAGTGATGAACTGCTGCTGTATGTGAGGTACACACACATCCCTGTCACCCACTCCCAAAACACCACTCCTGTACCTACTTACAGTTACTGCACATGACATAAATAGCAACACCATTTTCCTTATTCAAAATGCTGAGGAAATGTAGTCCTTAACTGCTTAGTTGATACTATAAATACTGAAGAAATTGTTTTTCAAACCTTACTCAGGCTTTTATGCTTATTTCTGTATTTGGTATTGCCAGAAGGACTAAATGGCCCCTCTCTCCCCTCCCTAGACACAGACACACCACACCCCCTCCGAGCTCTGTTCTCACAATTTATTCAGATGCTGGCTAATTGTGGTTATTTGGCTTCCAAGTGCTTGAAGCACTTTTGGCATCAGGATGAAGTGACATCCAGGAACATTTAATCTGTTAAAAAGGCCAGTCAGCACAGATTAATGCAGTAAGCACATGCCTCAAGGAGAGCCTGTTTGCATTCTTAAAGTGTAATTAAAAAGTGCAGAAGAGGATATAGGAGTAAAAATAAGATTTTCATACAAGTCTTACCTGAATCCTTTAAAATATGTATTAAGCAAATAACAGGCATAAGAGGACACCTTAAGCAAAATATCAAGTGAAACTAATACTTGTCTGCAATGCAATCAGTAGTAAGGAAGTTTTAGGAAACCATTGTGGTAAGGAAAAGACATTTATAGGGGTAGATAATTGACATCAATTTTAGCAAAATCGCCCATCAGCTCCTTTTTTCAGCTCCTTTCTTTCTCTCAATACATCTCAGTTCCTCACTCTAGTCCTGAATGATTTCTAAGAGGCTGTTTTGATGTGGCTCTTTTGACAATGAGCAAAGACACAAACTATATGTAAAATATTTTTGGAAAGTAGGCAACATTCAGTTTGTCTGCTAAAAGTCTAGGACAAAAAAGGATCCTTTTGCAGAAGCGTTCATCAAAGATATCCCGATATTTAGCTGCCTAAGTTCACCTTTTATATTAATTTATGTCTCATTTTCACCTTACATATTTGAGAAGACACATTTTTTTAGCCAGTATGTTTGCATCCAAATCTGGAGACAATCTGAACCACCTGGAACCCTTCCACAGCCCCAGAATTTGCCAGACCATCCCCTTGACTTCAAGCATGTTTAGTTCTTTGCATAAGTCAATGTAAACATTCAACCTGTATCTTCCTGTGGCTTTAATTTGGATATGACTCGCTGTATTTTAAACTATTTATTACAGGAGACAGTTAATGGAATTTCTAAATTCAGAGAGGAAGTCTCCAGAGGGCCTCTTCCTCCCTTCCTAACCCAGAGCTTGCAACAGATAGGAGGAAGTCAAATCATTAACATTTGGGGTAGTCAAAAGGCATTAAGTATAAAAAGAACTTGCACAGGTTTACCTCCAATAAACCTGTCTCCAATTCCATATTCAACAGGCTACGTTTTATTCAACTTACACACAGAAACTGGTACTGTGGCTACTTACTGCTTTGTGTCTTTGAGGCTTGGAAAACTTCAGTAGCAGAACAAAAAGCAGCTTTTCTGCTTGGAGTTCTTTGCAAAAGCATCAAAATGGTGCAGAAGCAGGTGTTTAGATACTGTCTAAGAGACACTACAATTTCACTGAAACATGGATTTAAAAAGAACCTCAGTACAGCAGATGTTTTGCATAAATAATATGGACCTTGAACCAAAACACCTTCTTCATGTAGCTTTCCAGTTATCCTCCACAGTTTGAAAGGTTAACAGAAAAAAGTAACACTGAAGCCATGAGCTAATCAAAGGTTTAGACTTAATTACTGCACTGACATATAGGGAGCATATGGTTTTTCCAAAGTAAGTGTAGGTTAGTATTTTAATCTAATCTTATTAATATCTCATAATAGCTAACATATTATGCCCTTTAGGAACTATAGAAGGTTACAGAAGAATTTTAAAATCCACCTGTACCAATGGCCTGGCCAAAGGACTGCTGTGTTGTGTCCATCTGATACACCACAGTATCACTGTATAAACATGTTCCTTTTGATAAGCAGCTTTGCCAACATCTAATCTGAATCTCCCCCCTTTAAGCCCAAAATTCAATTTACAGAAGACAACAGTAGAAGCAATTAAACTTTCTAGATACTTTCAGTGTTACGTCCCTCTTCAGGTGTTCCAACCTCAGTCTGTTTTGAGTGGTCTTTAAACCTTTTCTCAAAATTGCATATCAATACATGTTGATTTGATTCTTTCTTTTTCCTCCTCAGAAAGATGCATTTCTCACCAGGATGGCAGGCACATAATAGGTTTATAGACAGATAATATCATTTGCAGTCTGGGATATAGGTTTTTTTGGACCTTTCAGGAGAATTAAAGGGGGATTTAAATCAAGAAAAGTGAAGTATTCCTATTCTAAAGCTCATCAGTAAGTAGTTCCAGCCTGTAATTGAAGGGAGGCCTATGAACAAAGAGAAGCTAAATATAAATGGAGAGAAGTGTGCTAATATTGACTTGCTGGAAAGCAATAAAGTTAGGAAGTCAGCAAAAACACTACTGGAAAAACCATCTTAACAAAGAATGAGGAAAAAAAAATATTAAAATATTAAAGCTTCAGAGGCCTTGTCAACACAGTGAGGAGAGGATTATGTTATATGGGTGCTACCGTATTGTTTGTAATTTAGGAAGGTTTTTCTGCATCATTAAAATTTTTTGCACAGGAATACTGTACTTGGGTTGTAAAAATGTATTTTGAAATGGCTAAAGAGTCCACCTGTACTTCACAAAGCCCATCAGCAGATGTCCACTGGTGAAGTGGGATGTCATACAAGAGAGTCTGTTCATTGCCCTCTACACTGTTTGAGCAAACATTCCTTTGCTCTTTACAGACATGAACCAGTAGCTCCACACAGCATGTTCCTCTGATAAAGCAAACACATCCGTTTGGGCCATGACAGCCCTGGGAACCTCTGAACTTTATTCCATCACAGAGAAGATACTGCAGCACGTTTCCTTCCAAGAAATGAACACCATCAAAATTAGTTCTTGAAAATTAATCAATGCCACTCAAATACTAGGAAGAAAAAAAAAATTTCAGCCTCAGGACACACAAATCACACATTCTTTTTGGAGTGGAGAGTGCAGGCAAGATTTGGCTATGGGCATGTGCATAGGGGTGAACCTCCCCATTGTTTTTTGTCAAAAAACTCAACTAGCTTACTATAATCTATTAATTAATTGCACAGGCATGTCCCTCTTTTTGTCACAAGATGCTATACACAGTTGTTCACCTCGGCTGCACACATGGAAACACGGTCACTGAGCATGAAGAGGTACTAAAACACTTAAAAATCTGTGGCCAAATGGCCAAAATCTTGAAAAATACAACCTCCCAACAAGAAAGCAAATATGAAAACCACATCAACCAAATTCTGTTTTCCTATCACCTTGTTGTTAAAGTTTTCATGTTATCTGGCCCAAAAGTGGCTTGATTTATAAAAGCAGACTGGAATTAGCTTAGTAACAAAAATGAACCTTCTATAACGCAAAGTGTGAGGTCTGAGCTGACCAAGTTAAGTCAAAAGATGGACACAAAATCATTAATTTTTTCATGGCAACCACGCTATCAAAGTTTCACAATAATCCCTGCCACAGCAAATGCACACAGAATGAACAGATGCAATATGAAGGAACTGGGGGAAAAGCCACATTTTCCAACAGATTTCCACAGGATGCACCAGTTTTAGGCAACTTTTCAGAGTTCACACTTGTACCATGGAGCTATAAAGGATTTTCAAGACACAGCTACATAAAATATTTAACTACCTACCAGCATTAACGATGGCATCAACCTCAAGCAGTGTAATGTCACCTCTGTAGAGAGAAACTTTCTCACTCAGACTTTTCTTCCCTTGCAGATCTTCTTTAGTGTTTTCACCTACAAACCAAGAAAGCAGAAAAAGCAGGTTATAAGTGTGGCTCCGAGGTCATTATTTACAAGCCCTGAAGAGGCAGCAGTCCGGTGACACCGCTGCTGTCACACTGCAGCATCTTTCGGTTTCACCTCGAGAGGGCACCGGTAACCCACAGAGACACCAGCACTGCCCTAACGTCGCGCAGCTTGCTTGGTACTTGTTTCCAAATACAAGCTAGTAGGAAGCACTCAATCCTTATCCACATACCATCTGGTTACAAAACTGCAGAAACATACATATTTTTGGAGCGAGATCCATCAAATAATTTTATTTCATCATCACAAAGGTGTAAACTGCAAAAACAAATTGAGGAATCAAGATTACTCTCCCAACCAATTAACCTAACTAATTATTTCTCCAATCCAGAATTATACCAAATGAGTACAAAAATATACAAGCACACCATTTGCAAACAGCCCAAAATTCAGAATGACTTCTGAAGACACGCAGCCAGACAACAAGCCTGAAAAAAAACGCACGCAAATTTTCAACTTGGAGCTTTTTCACCCTAAATTGCTCAACTAGAAGGAGGCAGGTGGTGAAGACAACATACACTAGCTTGCAACAGATTTGTTACTAAATAATGTTACCATAGGTCCCTTAGTCCTGTAAACTCTTGAGATTTTGCATCACCAAATCACTTCATTTATATCCAATTCAGTCTATAGAACAGCTCAGTTACCTCGAACCCTTGCCCAAACATACTGCCCAAACCTTCACCAAGTTAGACATGCACAAATGAACCGAGGAAGACTATTAAATTCACTTTTACTATTACTTTTTAAAAATTATTTCCAACACAAGTCTCGAGAAGCTTGAGTTCATCTGTTGGTCAGAAATAGAACTCATTTCCTGAGGTAACAGAGTGTGAATCAATTTCAAATCTTCAAAACAAGTGAAGTTTGTTGATAAACAAAAACAGTCCTCAATATTTCGTGAAAAAGTAGAAGCAGGCCAAATTTGTCTCCCTAGTCTTATCATTTATTTCCATCAGCTCAAGAATACAAACTCAGACATGCCAGCAGCTCCTTGCTGAGCACATCCCCAAGCTCCTGAGGTCTGTCCCACAGTGGCATGACAGAGCAGCAGGCTGAGACAGCCATATGATCAGACCCTCCGGTCTGGCCTTGCCTTGACATTCCCAGCCTCTGGCTGCCAAGGCAACAGCCTTGTGACATCGCAGCTGATGCCACCACCTTGCTCAGAGCCCGTGGGCGCCGCTCAGCTCGGCTGGGGCTGAGGGTCAGAGATCGCAGCTCGGCCATGCTCCGCCCGGGGCTCTCCGTGCTCCTGGGGCTCTGCGTGGCCTCGCTGCTCCCCGGTCCCCTCGGAGCTCGCAGCTGTCCCGCCAGGAACGCGGCCCGGCTGCCGCTCCCAGCCCGGCACGGGCAGCACCGTGCGGGCGCTGGCACGGGCAGCGCCAGCCCGCGGGCCCTGCAGGGCCACTGCTGCACCTTCTTAGCCCTGTCCCTGCTGCTCGCCGCGCTCGGCCTCGGCTGCAGCCTCCGCAGAAAAGCCCGGAGGCAGCGGAGAGAGGTGAGCCACGGGCACAGGGCAGGTGGCACGGTGCCAGGGGCCGGGAGCTACAACGTGCAGGGTGAGGAGCGCCAGCCCCTGTGGAGAGCAAAGCCTGGGCAGGCACCAAGGCTCCTGTGCCCCTTGCCAGCCCCGTGCCCGAGCCCGGAGGAGAGGTGCGGCTCAGCCCCCTTCCTCCCAGGAGGAAACAAGGACAGGCTGAGCCACCAGAACGAGACAGGACCTGCCCGAGGGCTTCTCCACACGGCCTGCAGCCTGGGGAGCCCAGCCAGGCCCCAGATTCCCCAGGAGAGCCCAAGGGGGCCCGGCCCCCGCAGCCCCTCTGCCCCTTTCACCGAGCTCCCTGCCCTGTGTCTCCCAGCAGAAGGCCTGGACACGCTCAGCCTGGCCAAGGAGCTGCTGCCTGGCTGACTGCTGCCCCCTCAGTGACGAGGCGACCGAGGTGCTCGGCCACCAGCAGCAAAACTCTGCCTCCATCGGGAGCCTCCTGAGGCACCTGCGCCAGCGCTGCCTGCGGGGGGACGCGCTCCAGAGAGCGAGGAACAACAGAGCGGGGAAGGACTTGGACGAGGAGGCAGCGCTTTCTTTCTCTGACTGAAAAAACACTTGCTAGGCAAATGGAGCAATGCATTGCAAGATTACGCATACAGATTATTATTATTATTAAAATTATTTATTAAATAAGACAGCTTTTACTTCTGTTTTAACTTTAGTCTTGCAAACAAGTTGATTGTAACTCTTACGAGAAAGTGAAGTCAGTGGCCACAAAATCATCTCTGCACACACACTCACAAAGGATGGAGCTGATTCTAGTACATCCTTTCCAAACATTGGGGGTTTAGACTATTACTGACAACACACAAGAGTGGAAACACTGCTGTAGGTCCTCCTCTTGTCTCCTCTGCCCCAGCCTCAGTAATACATTACAGCTGAAAATCTTCACCAGAAACAGTTCAACATTCATGTCCCACCCCTCCTCTTTTTCCCCTCTAGATCCAGCCATCATCTTCTACCCCTCTGCCTATACAGTCCAATTTAATTTAGCTTTTCCTCCTACATCATCCTTTGGTACTTCAGCCATGTTCAAAACATCTCGGAGTCCACAGAGCCACAGCTTAAAGTAGGATGAGGTTGATTACCTTAGCTCTTAACACCAAAAAGAGAAAATAGGCAGTCCTAGCCCTCAGCTTTGTTTACAACTCCTTCCAGATCACTCCTAAAAAAAAGGGCCTTTACAGCTTGCACAAGGGCAGAAAAATGCTTTAGATTGAGTCCACAAAAACTGCGCTTGAAAAGAAAATGGGTAAAGTTCATCTGAACCAAGTGGCCAAAGGACTGTCAGAACATCTCACTAGAGGGAGCCCCCACCCAGGACATAAATGTACTCAGCTGGTGCAATGGACAAGGATGGCACAAACCTAGAGCATTGGAAAAATCAGCCCTGAAACTCAATCATTGCTCAAACAGCCAGAGTTTTCAAGTCTAATATAAAGTATATTAATTTTTTAAACGAGTCTCAAGCATCCAATTACAGAAATCCCTACAGCAATACCGAAGAGCTTACCACTAGAGGGAAGAGAAAAACCTATAGCTTGAGGAGTTTATTACAAAAAACCAGCACATTTGCATTTTAAAACGACTGTTAATGAAAGAGTAGAGCACACACAAAGTAGTAAAAATAGGTACCAAAGCCCCATAGTATAAAGCAATACCTTTGGCAAAGTAATAGTCTCTTGGCACTCTATGACCAAAGGCCAATAAGATAAGAAACCAGAACAAGTGAGGATTGGTGGCAGCAAGACTCACAGGCTCACACTGTTATAAGGGAAGTTTGTTAAACAAGTAGCAGACTGGATTAAAAGAAAAAAAAAAAAAAAGGTGAAAATAGGAGAGTTCCATCATTTCTAGTCAGTTTTAGAATTCACAGCTGAAGGAAGTAAATTAACTCCAGGTTCAAAAGAAGTAAGTCTGCCCACTACCTCATCCCTGCTACAATAGCCACTAGCAGAGACGCAGCCCCACAAGGAAGGCTTCTCTAAGAGAATCTGGAAAAAGCACCTGAGCAAAGGACAAGATTCACATTATTCCCAGGTGAGAGGCAGCCCTTCCGCTCCTGGAAGAATCCTCAGCAAATACTTGACTAGGACACTAATGATTTTTCTTGGGTTGCTGAAACACAAAGGAGATGAGCAAGCTTTAAGAGTGCATCTGACCCTGCTGGAATGTGCAGCACCGATTCTGCTACACTCTGTGCTTTTTCCCTTCAGTGTCTATTTTTTTCCTTACTTAATGCTTTGTTTCCATAAATTTCTTGCACAGACTAAAAATGATGAACTATTAGCAGTTACTAATCTCACATCTAACACAACTTTCCCTTCCATTTGTTTCTGCATAGGCCTATGGAGCGTTAGAAAAGACAGATTGTAAGACCTGTAATAATATGTGTCTGCTTCTACTCCTACTAAGCCGGGATGATTGTACAGGAAAGGCAATTGCTTATCTAAATCAAGATAAGCATTATTTCCATATGTTCCATCACCAGGGGAAAAACGTTCACAGATGCACTGTAGTACTTCAGATTTGTAGTACAGATTTGCTCTATCACTTCTTGGACTTAAACGAGATCAGAACCTGAGCACAAGGAATAAACATCTGTTGCAGACAAATCGCTTTCTACCCAGCCAGAAATGCAGCACAACATGCAAGTCAAAAGCATTTGATGATGAACACCAACACCTTCTCCCTGGTTGCACACTCTGCCAATATGGTCTGTTTCAGCTAATTACCAAGTGGCATAATTGGATGAGCTGAGGACTAGAGCCAAGTACCAAACTGCGGCGGCAAACATACACCACGAATCACAGAATGGATGTGGTTGGGTGGCACCTCTAGTGATCAAGTCACCCAGAACAGTTGAATTTAAAGATCTCCAAAGACAGAGATTCCACAACCTCTCCAAGTAACCTGTTCCAGTGTTCAGCCAGCCTCACACTATGTGTGTAGTTTTGTTTTTCAATGCTCAGAAAGAATTTCCTCTTTCAACATGTGCCTACTACCTCTTGTCTTATCACTGTGTACCACAGAGATGAGTCTGAAGAGATCTCTTTTACACCCTCCACTCTCTTTATGAACACTGATGAGATCCCCTCTGGGTATCTCTTCTTGAGCTCTCTCAGTCTCTCCAGGCACAGGGGATGCTCCAGACCTCTACTCATGTTTTAATCATCTTTGTGGCTTTGGTGCATGAACTACACTTCCCAGTTCTGCACCACCTCCTGAGGTCACACTTCTCCCCATCCTCCAGGTCAGGAGGTCATGGGATCTCCTATTCCAAGTTCTACAGGAGGCAGGAAATATCTATCCCCTATCTGAGGGGCTTTAACTCGCCCCTGTACAACTACCGCAAAAAGCCCCGAGCTCGCTCACTCAGGCCAAGTTTAACACGGTGATATGGCTACCAGCAGCCCTCAAACAAGGGTCTAAGTGTGAGCCTTGACTTTTCAGCCACATTTAAATGGGAGCCACTGAAGACATTTACACATTACAGACAGAATGACTGGTGTACCATGAGAATTGATCAAAACACCCAGTCACTCTGAACAACCCACACAACGCTCATGCAAAATGCAATTTTCTTGTGTTACAAGGTCTTGCATAGTCCTTAAACAACCTTTTCCTCAGTCTATCCCACACAGCTTTCTATATCCCGAAAATAACAAAGCTGAGAGGCAAAAAAACCATTTAAGTCTGGGAAAGAAAGAAGAAGAAGGAAAGGACGAGCCTGCCTTTTTTTATGAAGCTTTTGTAAACCAAGGGAAGACTTGGTATGGAATGATAAAGTACCAAAAAACAAAGTTTGAGAAAGGAGTAACAACAAACGAGGAGAACAAGAACAGGAATACATTCCCAATTCTAATTTGTGATGCACCCTTATCTGCAGGGACATGCAACTGTCAATTCATAAATCAGAGTCTTCTCACTTCAGCAGCATGCACACTGACAGCAAAGACACGACACAAGTAGGCTGAGACCCTTGGGTATTTGTGAGTTTACTTGGAGAGTCAGCATCCAGCTGCTCCGGTTGCTATGCTTGCTGGAGATTTCATCATTTAGGGTCCACAGAAAAGGCTGCTGGTTCAGCTGTGACTCAGAAGGAGCTGTGCTTTGTCTGTGTGAAGAAACCCATTCAATCACTGCCTTGTTTGGCTGGTTTTATAATGTGGACCTTCAGAGCGATTCCAGACTTTGTAATGATACAGTGGAATAAAAACGCTGTTTGATATGGTATTTTGCTAAATTCTTGCCCAAGCCTGATTATCAGTACCTCACTCCAAGTCATACCAAGAATTTCATTATAGATTCTTCTCAGTGAATGGCACCCTGAGTTGTCAAATGGTCAGCCAAGGTTACGTGGAGGCAAGAACTACACTACATTGACTCAAACTCAATTCTTACTTTATAACCTCCCCCTACTACAGAGAGCTCGTAACTAACAATGGAAGTCAAAAAATGGAGACACAAACACATGATACTGCTGTAGATCACTGTTCATTGCCCCATGAGTATGTTGATACTTCTCTAAAAAACTACAGGACTACAGGTGATTCTGCTTCACTGGATTCCTTCCAAGACAAAGCAGATGCCTCCACTGCAAGAGCTGTGTCTTGGCACTATCACAGCATTCATACAACTATTCCTGGTGTGTCCAAATTGATCCAGTACCACTTGGGGTAACCATGAGCTTTCATCCACAACATACCACCAGCGGTGCAGCATGCCTTCACTCACCTTTATAAACTGTCTGAGAAAAAAAATGACTTTTCATGACTAAACAGGTATTCAGTCCTCAGCAGCACCTGTTTTACTTACCAAAATGTGAGAACCCATTTAAATAGGTGAACACGTACAGCATCAAGGAGGATTGAAATGAGTTTATAGTGGGGAACCACAAATTCGTTACTTTCATTCATTTCCTTGTTAAGCTGTCAGACAATTTTTATTCTGTTTTCTGCTTTTTTAATTCTCTACACCACTGCTGAGCAATGACTTCTCTAGTTGAGTATTACAGCTTTTGTAGAATTTGCAGTACAGCTTGGAATTAAAATGTTACTACCAGAAAACCACAAAACTTGTGCAAAATCATCAGCAAATATTTTATGACATTGTCACTCAAAAACCTCTCTGCCTGACATAGAGTGACAACAGCTTAGCAGGTGGGAGAATGAACTTCAGTTTTCTAGCATAGGGACAGGTAGGTTAAGTGTTGGGGTTTAGGATTTTTTCCTTTTGTTCTTTCAGGGAATTTTCTCCCATATGTTGCTAGGAGACAAAAATGACCGGGTACTTGAGAGAGACAAAAGAAGTTGCCAAGCTCAGGGGAGGGATGCAGCTGGCTACTCTCTCTTTCCCTGGGGGTTCCTCTGGGAAGGGCAGAGGTATCACCAGATTTGGGCTGGGGGAAGGGGTTGGGTGCAGCTCCCAGCCTTCTCTCCTGCTCTTGGCATTTGGAGGGGAAACAGGCTGCAGTCGCTGTGGGAAGAATTTGCTACCACAGTGGGGTTGTGTTTCTTGCTGCCTTCTCCTAAAATGAGTGGAGCTCTGCTCCTGAGAGCGGCCGATGCACTGGGACCTTATTAACACCTAACAAAGGCCCCCTCACCATCTGCTGGGGCGCCTTAGGTAAAAATCCCAGGATCTCTGAGCCCCTTCCCCCTCCGAGAGAGTTTCTCCAGGCCCTGTTCTCCAGCCACTGCCCAGCCCCTGCCTTTCTTTTGCCACTTTGCTCTGGGTTTTTTCCTACTGTAGCCACGTACCCCCTGCCTGCTGGGACACCCCTGCAGTTCCAGCTACAGCTGCAGAGTTTCTGATGCATCTCCTTTACCATTCCAGGATTTTGCTCATCCCTGCCGTTCCAGCTTGCTGCTCAGAGGCTCCTGCTACAGCTCATTTCGCCATCCAGAGGGGCACCGGGACCGGCTGCCCCACGGGGTTTGCAAAGGAAGCGCCTTTTCCATCTCTGTCCTCGGCCCGCCCGCCATTGTCCGTGTGAGGGGGAGCACGGCCGAGCCCGCGCCACAGCGCCCCCTGCCGGAGCGGGGCAATCACCGCACCCGCCCTGCCCGGCCGGGAGCCACCGGCGCCCCCTGCCGGCTGTGCCCGGAACTGCACCGAGGGGAAATCGCCTTCAGGGTGGGAAGAGACTTCATTGGGATTTCTCTTCTTGTTTGTGTTGTTAGCATTGCTGTTTGTTTGCCGTGTTATACATACACATTCCAGCAAGCAACTGTTATTCCTTGTCCCATATCTGTGCCTGACAACCCCTTAATTTCAAAGTTACGATAATTCAGAGGGAAGGAGGTCATAATTCTCCATTCCAAGGGAACTTCCCACCTTCCTTGGCAAACACCTGGCTTTCAAATCAAGACAGTAAGTTCTTACACAGGTGCAAAAGATGATGTTTTCTAAATTGAGATATTAGGCATGGGGATAGCTCTTACCTTGCAGCATTTTCTTTCCCTCCTCCCTGAGACACCAGATGCAATTTGCTACACTGAAGAATACTGGAGGTTCAATCCAAACAGTGAGGAAGCTTTGAATACTTGAAGACAACTCTATCACTACTCATTTGTTTTGCAAGTCATGCCTGCTTCATTCAAGCACTTAAAAAATGGAAATTAATACAAACTCTCAAGCAGTTACAAACTCACTAGCAGTTAGCAGAAAGATCTAGCTCTATCTTCTTTTATGTATCTACCTAGAAATAAAAGACACACCAAATCTCAAAGCCTTTAAGTCAATATAAGAATAGCTGTGTACATCACCTATTCTCCTGGATTTATTTATTTGCAATACACTTACAATCCTTCCCCTGTAATAACACTGGTGGGAATGCAGAAAGAGGGGGGAGGAAAAACAGAAAGGAACTCTACTTTTTCTTTAAATACAACTGACCCATACTCTCAGTGACAGCTACATGAAGTCTGGGGTTTGTATTCAGTGGATGTAGATTGATTAGGAAATCCCACCAAGTACAGCACTGCAGCACACGATATGGTGGGCGGGCAGTAGAGTACCTTACACAGAAAAGGTTACACTGAGCATGTGAGAATAAGTCCAGTGCAGGCTCAACTTCAACTAAAAATCATACCTGAGCAGCAAATGGAAAACACAGAACTTGGAGCACCTTTACAGTCTAACCAGCCATACCAAGGAAACCATCAAGAAAGCCCATCATTGCATAAACAAGCCTTTGTGGAAAAGCAAAGGGCAGGATAATGCACGGAAATGTTTTATAGAAAGACAGTGGTGCAACCAGTTCCTTCATATCTACACCTTTCTTCCTACCTACTCTGCATGAGAGATGGACTGCATCATTTGAACAGAAGCCTTTGGGTAAACTCTAGAGAAGTTAAAAAACTATTTTCTTACACAACATTTGACCAGCAGCTCCCAGGGATGCTATTAGTGCAAAGGTGCTTGCAGAGAACTGCTTCTACTCTCAGAAATAAATGTATTGGCTACATCAGCACAAAAGTGAGAGGCTTCGTTTTCCAACATGTGCGTTCTGTAGCATCCCATCCCCAAAAAAACAACTGAAAACTTCGGTGAAGGCCTTTGTGACACATTTGGGCAAACATGCCAAGTCAGCATGCAATAGCCTGCAAGTCTTGGGACAATCTCTGTGCACAAACATCATGTTTCTCCCTCTGCACATTGAAATAGAAAATATTTCTCAATATCATTTCAATAGTTTCTAAAGCTGTGCAAAATCCCAATTTAACATCTTTCAACTGGATTGTTCAGCCTTCCCTCCATCAAGGAAGAGCATTTTCTCTGATGAATGATAAAAAATGTGTGGCACTTCCTACAGGGCTGAGAAATTTTCTCTCAATTGGAGTTTCCAAATACACGTCAGCTAGATGTCCTCACATGGAGAAAGCCACATATCACTTCACAGACCAACTACTACCATTTAATGGCTGGACTCAATCAACTTAGGGTCTTTTCCAACCTTAAAAATCTTACGATTCTACATTACAATTATTCAGATCCTCGCTGACTTAAGAGATATTTCTACAGGCTGAGCAGTCTGGGTCTGCAGAATCAAAAAAGGGAAGCCAGACTTATGTTATTTCCAGTGACTGGGTTTTTAACACATGTTTAATCAAGTGTTCAACTGTGCATGAAGCAAATACAGCTACACATGAAAAGTTAGTTAACATGATCCAAACAGAGAGGTTGGTGAGCTTAAACTGCACCAGTGATCCCCCAACACAATTAAGAGAGTTAAAGCAGTATCATTACTTCCTTTCAGTGTGAGGTTAGCTTTCAAACTGGTTGCAAGCCTCCCACACCCAAAGTTGGGTGGCCTGCACTGTGTCATCACTAATAATCAAGAGCCAGCCAGCAAATCCTAGTTGGAGCAGTAGTTCAGCACCTTCATAAACATCTGTCATATCTAAGCTACATCAAATTAAACCAAGCCATACCAGTCTCCACCTGCCTAATCAAAAGAGGGTTCCATCTTCTGAAGAAGGACATCAGCCTTTTCCAACTGCATTTGAAAATATCTTAAAAGTCACACAGCCAGGCAACAGATCCACATTAGCAAGCCATAACTAAGGTGCAATTTAACAGCTTGGTTTTGGCCTCAGCCTAATCACAGGCACATGGCTTCTAATCAGGTTGGCACATTGGCTCACATCTGTCTGCAAAAGACTGTGAGGACACACGCCACGATCCACCATAAATTACAGATTAGGGCACTAGCCAAGTTACCATACTGAGCAAAGCTAGATGACTTACTGGAATTGTCTTTGTAGAGCAATACATGAATTTGGGGGTTCGATCCTGCAATCCCCCACACTCAAAAGAAGCACACCCTTTCTATATAAAAAGAAGAATGGAAATAATAATCAAAGAAGAGACAGAAGCCAAAATATACAACTTGTTACTTTTTCCCTGCATATCTTAGTCTTACTGAAGTCAGCCACCGAAATATTCCAAGCTGGAACCTACAATTTTTCTCAGCAGTTTCTGTGGAACAGCACATCCCAACTTAAAGCATCACTGCTGCTAAAGCCCTCCTCCCTCACACCCTGAACGAGCCTGCCAGCTGACAGCACACTGCATCATCTTGACTTCCTAACTCTACTAAGTACTTCCTTAGGGACCAGTGTACAAAACTTCAGCCCAGTGA